GAACACGCTGCGGGGGCTCATCCGCTGCCCGCTGTGTGCGCACTGCCCCCGGTGCGGCCGGGCTCCTTCCCCTCGCCTTAGCCTCTCACCTGTACCTTCCTCTGAAGAGCCCTTTTCCAGGCAATTTGTGCTAATCTGCTCTTCTGCCGCACTTGGACTTTGATCACTTCTTGATTGCCAGCCGATATCCACTGCTGTGTCCTGTGCTTGGCCGAGGCGTGCCGGGTTTTGCTGCGTGGCTGTGTCTCGCGGGGTTGTCTTCTGAAGTTCTAGCTTCAGGACGTTTAGGTTACTCTTTGGTGCTATGGAGCAGCTGTGGCTCCCTGAATCCTGAGCGCTGTGGCTGATGACAGCTGTCAGTTTTGCCATCAGACCGGGACAGTTTTCGGTTTATGTTGGTTATTCTGCAAATGAACATCCTCTAAAGGCTCCGTCAGATGCTGCGGCGAGCCCTAACCAGCTGTGTAGGGCTTTGTGTCTAGCACGGTGCGCCAAGCATCATGCCAGCTCCAGAAAGATAGGCAGCTCCCCCTTCTACCTTCTCCGGCTTGGCCAGGGTCAGCCCTGCCGCACGGGGACGACGAGGTCTCCTTGTGGAAAAAACTCCAGTCTTTGCACCATTCAGCCTAGAAGGCTGCACTTTTGGCTCACAGCGCAAAATGACCACTTTTGCGAAACACAGACAAACCCTGTCTGGAGAGCAGCTTCCCGCCTGCACGCGGGCGCTCGGCCGTCTCCGGAGGGCGCGCCCCGACCGCGGGCTGCGGCAGTTCCCACGGAGCAGCACTTAAGAGTTTCCGCTGCTCCCGTCTCCATGAACACGTGATGATTGTTACTTTTAATTGTAGCCATTGCATAATAGTATCATATTGTTTTCGTTTGTATTTTCTAGATGATTAAGAAAGAGGAGCACATTTTCATGCTTATGGGCAATTTGGTTATTTTTTGTGAAATGCCCAGTCAAGTTTCTTGCCCAGTTTTTCCAGCATGTTGTCTTTTTCTTATTAATTTATGGTAGTTAATTACATATCCTAGATGTGAAGGTTCTGTCACATACACCTATGACATACACATATAGCCACATACACATATAGCCACATACACATATAGCCACATATACATATAGCCACGTACACATATAGCCACATACACATATAGCCACGTACACATATACATATAGCCACGCTGTTCTTGCCTTTTTACTTTCTTGAAGGTGTCTTTTGATGAAACAAAGTTCTTAATTTTATTGAAGTCCAATTTATCAGTTTTTCCTTTTATGGTTAGTGCGCTCTGTGTTTTATCTAAGAAATAATTTTCTGTCCCCAGGTCATGAAAATATTCCCCTGTTATCTACTAGAAATATATCTTTTTTTTTTTTTTTTTTTTTGAGACAGAGTCTCACTTTGTTGTCAGGCTAGAGGAGTGCGTGGCGTCAGCCTAGCTCACAGCAACCTCAACTCCGGGCTCAGCAATCCTGCTGTCAGCCTCCCGAGTAGCTGGGACTACAGGCATGCGCCACCAATGCCGGAATTTTAGATATATATATCAGTTGGCCAATTAATTTCTTTTATTTTATAGCGGGGTCTCGCTCTTGCTCAGGCTGGTTTTGACTCTGAACTCGAGCATCCGCCCGCCTCGGCCTCCCAAGAGCTAGGATTACAGGCGTGAGCCACAGCGCCCGGCCAAGAAATATATCTTATAAAATGTTTATATTTAGATTTAAAATTCACCTGGAGCCCGCCGTGCTGGAAAGCACTTGCTCTGCCGCCAGTTGCTTGCTGGCGGGGCGGCCTGGGCGGGCGCGGGCCTGCGCGCCCCGCCTTCGGGCCGTGCGGCCCGACCCCCACGGCCCATCCGGCATCCCCGGACAAGGGCCTCGCGTCCAACCCCGCCCGGGCCCCCTCGGCTCCCGACCGGCCTCGCGCGCCCCCCCGACCCACGGGCCATCGCGCGCGCGAACCAGGGCTAGCGCGGGCCCGACACGGGCTAGCCCGCCCCCGGCCACGGGCCCTCGCGCTCGACCACGGGCTGCGCGCCCGACCGCACTGCGCGCCCCGCACGGCCTCGCGCCGCCGACCACGGGCCCTCGCGCGCCCGACCACGGCCCTCGGAGGCCGACCGCCCTCGCGTCCGACCACGTGCCCTCGGCGCCCCGACACGGCCTCTCGTCCCCACCCCCGACCAACGGCTCCGCTCCCGACGGGCCTCGCAGCCCGACACGGGGCCTAGCGGGACCGGGACCTCGCGCCGCCCCGACATGGCTCGCGTCCGACCCGGGCCCTCGGGCCGACTCCCGGGCCTCGCGCCCGCCCGCCACGGGCCTTCGCGGACCGAACACGGCCTAGGCGGCCCCACGACCCCGGCCTCACGCCCCGACACGGCCCTCAGCACTCGACCACGGGCTCGGCTCCAGCTGAACCCGGCCTGCGGGCCCCGCCACGGGCCTCGCGCCCCCCGGACCACGGCTTCGCGCGCCCCCGACCAGGCCCTGCCGCTCCGACCACGGCCCCCTCGGCGCGCCCGGGCTCGCGCTCCCACGCGAAGGGCCTCGCGCTCCACACGGGCTGCGTCCCCCCGACAGGCCATGCGGCCCCCCCCCCGCCCACGGAAGCTAGCGCGCCGCAGGGCCTCGGCCCCGACCCACGGGCCCTCGCGCGCCCCCGACCCACCGGCCCTCGCGCGCCCCCGACCCACGGGCCCTCGCGCTCCCCGACCCACGGGCCCTCGCGCTCCCCGACCCACCGGCCCTCACGCGCCCCCGACCCACCGGCCCTCGCACGCCCCCTACCAACCAGCCCTCGCGCGCCCCCGGGCGGGACGGTGGCCTGAGGCAGAGCGGGAGGACGAGGCTGGCCGGTGCAGTGCGGGCTCCCGCTGCCCCTCCGGAGGCGGGCGCCTCGCTCCCCTCTGCGCAGTGCCCGCGCCGTGCTCCGTTCCCGTGAGCGCGCCCGGGACTGTGGCCCTGCACGAGTCGCGCGCGCTCCCGTCCGCCGGTTTGCTGGGCGCCGGTCCGGCTGCACAGTGCTCGGATAGGGGTGGTGGCTGGCTGTTGTCAATACGCCCTGCCACGTGCTTCCTTCACAGAGGCCTGTTTGGGGGCTGGGGGACTCTTCAGACCCCCGCACCCCTGGACATTCTTAGGGGCCAGTCCCACTTGACCCAGAGGTGAGCATGGGCAGGAGGATCCTACGGGCCTCAGGTTCTGCCTGAGCTGGTGTCGCACCCAGCACAGCTTTGAGACGGCAAGACTGGAGTCCGGCCATCACCTCTGTGGACACTGTGGAGCTAGGATGAGCCCACTTGCCCTGGTGTAGACAGGGAAAATGAGAGATAAAGCCTCAGTTTCCCCCTATATAGTGTTAGAAGTGTTAGAAGTGGGTGTTCTCAAGAGTTCCACATAGTCACATGTGTCTCCTGGCCTTTGTTCTCCATTATGACCCACGGTGCTCTGAAAAGATGCTTTCCACTCTCTGGAGACCCTTCAGAGCAGAGCTTGGGCAGTTGAGTACTAGGGAAAGAGAAGGATGTTTCGGATCACTGGCCCCTGAGTCTGGGGTCCAGGGTTAAATCCAGGTCATGTTGGGTCCTTGAGGTTCTCATTTGGAAGTGGGGGGTAACAGCTACCGTTGCTAAGGTGAGGATACCTCATGAGGGAACTGCACACCCCAGGAGGTAGAGGCAAAGAGGGGCAAAAGGAGCCTTCTGAGGTTCCTCATACTATTCTTGAAGCTGAAAGATGCTCTTTTGCACAGCCAGGACCCTGAGGAGCCACCATCTTGAGAAGCTCACAATGGAGGTGTTGTTTTGTTCTGTGATACTACTGCCCATGGCTGCAGTGCTAGTTTTGGCCACCAGAGGTGACAGCAACCTATGGCCCTGGTACTCACTGGGCTTGGCTGGAGCAACTGAAGCAGGGAGAGTCATGCTCAGGTTGTTCTGGCTGTCTGGTGTCTCAGAGACAGCTCACAGCTCCTGTTATTATCAATGATCTCCATATTATGAGGTGATCAGAAGCAGGAAGGGGGCTCTGATATCCGCCCATTTATTCACTCAGCAACCCTGCCCTGAGCACTCACCTTGTGGCAGGTGCCCTGGTGGGTCCAGCACATGATACTGAAAATGACCAAGTGGTCCCTGTCCCCCAGGAGCCCAGAGTCTGAGGACAACTGGACAAAACCACTAAATACAGTACATGTGAAAGAAGAAAAGCAAATGCTATAATGAAAATGAAGTAGGATGCTGGGAGGCAGGGCTGGGGAGTCACAGAATTGTGGGGACATAAATGCCTCTTTGAGATACATTCATGTGTGAACAGAATGGCGACAGAAAGCCAGCCTGCACGGGTCTGGGAACCGTGTGTCAGGGAGAAGCCCTTGTGCAGAGACTCACTGACGGAAGTGAGTTTGGCAGAGAAGTTAGAAAGGAGGCTGTGGCTGCAGGGGGCTGGGGAGAGAAAGCAGCAGAAGGAGGGAGGATTTTGGGGCCTGGGAGATGACCAGATCCTCCCTGACAACACTGCCGCAAAACTCAGTACCGTTAACTACAAATACTTAATATCTCAATTATGTGTGTATCTGCCTCAAGGTCTCTCAACAGGCTGGGGCTGTGGTCTCATCTGAAGCTGGACTGTGGGAGGATCAGCTTCTAAGCTCACTAATGTGGGTATTGGCAGGATTCAGTGTGGACTGAAAGCTTGGGCTCCTCCTTGTCTGTTGGCCTGGGCACTTCCTCAGTTCTCTGCCATGTGATCCTCTACATAGAACAGCTCAAGGAATACAATGCAGGGGATGGGGGAGGGGGGGGGGGCAGATGGAGAGACTGGATGAAGGAAGAGAACATAGGACAGAGCAAATAGGAGAAAAATGACAGCTTTTCTTGTAGCAAAATCTCGAAAGTTGCAATAGACAGAATCCCCCCAAATTCATATGTTGAAATTCTAACAACTCCCAATGTAATGGCATTAGATAAGAGATAATGAGGTCCTAATGTTGGAGCCCACATTATTAAAATTACTAGCTTTATTGTAGGAATCCCAGAGAGCTTTGTCCCCTTCTCTCTGCCAGATGAGGACACAACCTGTAGTCTGCATCTGCAATTGAAAAGAGTCTTCACCAGAACCTGACCATGCTGGCACCTTGATCTCAAACTTCCAGCATCCAGAACTATGAGGAATAAAACTCTGTTATTTATAAGCTGCCCAGTTTATTGTTCTTGGCTATGGCAGCCTGAACTAAGACAGAAATGATAGCCCATCACTTCAGTTGTATTCTGTTGGTCAGAAGTAAGCCACTAACCACTCAGTGCTGTGAGCCTTTGTGTGGGCTGCTCACCACACCAGCTGAGATGAGACTCATGGATCTGACTCTAAATAGAATGGCAAGGAATTGGAAGGTTTGCTGTCAGAGGATGACGCTATCTGAATTTCATTTAATTTCAACCTGCTATTGATGCAGTATGAAAAATGAGGCCCAGAGTGGAAGTAAATTTTTCAAGATTGCACTGCTGGACCCCAGGCCTGCTTGAGATATACGCCATGCTACCTCCCATCCCTTTTTGTAATTTTTATATTTCTTAATTCTGTGCATTCTCTACATGTGACACCATACCATAAGTTTCATAAGTTTTGTCTCATACATACCTAACGAGTTCCTAGGAAGCAGATGCTAGCATGATCCCCTCTGTGAATATTAGGAGGCCGGGGAGGCCCTGAAACAGGTAATTATTTATCTGGGGTAACAGAGATGATAAAAGAAAGCAGCTTATGACCCAGCTCTGTCTCCTTAAACCTTGGTTCCCGGCTGCATTTACGTCTTCCCGGGGGGTTCAGGGGGGCTGTGTTTGCATAGCTACAGAGAGGCGATGAGTCAGCATGGGGAGGAGGGTGAACAGTGAGCATCCCAGTGGGGCCTTTGGAAAAGTCTTATGGAATGAAGGGGCCCAGGTGATGGAGCTCCAAAGCAGTGACCTCACTTCCTTTGTGACAGACTCCAACAGAACATAGAACTCTGGCAACCAGACAATTCCACAGCCAGCTCCATATCCATCTCATTTGGTGGGAGACACTCAAGAGAGCAAGATGATCTCCTGTTCAATTGCCATTTTCTGAGTCTCTCACCTCAGGAAGGACAGAGTGAGAGCCTTTTTTGACTATGCAGACTTTGGCTCAGCTCTCACCGCTGATGCCTCTGGCAAGTTGGCAGAAACTGTTCAAAGGTAACACAGGACAGCCAGGTCAGGCCCATCCAGGCCAGGCCTCACCTGTGATCCCATCTGGGCATCCCCACACCACTTCTCATCACCATGTGTTAGGAGAGGAAGCAATAAGAGAGCTTCTCCTGGACGGGAGTTAATTGTCAAAAGTGTGTGAGGCCTGGTGGGCCTGTCATACCCCAGGTCATGGCTGGCAGGATGGGAAGGTGAGTGATAGGGACCAAGTTTGTCTACTCAGATATGAATCCCAAGACTTCAAGCTATCATCTGCTTCCTCCTTGGCTGGAGGTCTATGCAGATCTCCTATATGCCTGATCTGGGGAGCAGCATTTCTAATGGGGGTGTCCCCTGTGGAAACAGACAGGCAGGTCATTGATGCCCCTTGACCTGGCTGCTGGGTAGTTTTTTTTCACAGCTCCACACATATCATCGAGGAGCTGCCTGATAGGCCCAACTTCTCCTTCTCCTTGGATGAAGGGCAGGTGAACCACACCACAAACCATGGCCAGTGCTGGTCTGAGGTGAGAGCAGACACAGAGAGATCTCCACAGACAGGAACCCAAGGAGACTAGGGTAGGTCTAAAACCCAGATCTAAATATGGGAACTCCCTGGGCTCTGTCCAAAGGCTTTCCCACATGAGTGTCCCACAGTCCCCTCCCAAAAATATCTGGCCTCCATTTGTTCCCAGGGGCAACTTGGTCAGGTGAAAAGTCCTGTTGACATACTTGTAGGAATATCACAGAAAACACTTTTGTGGTGTTTTCACTTTACGCTGGGCCATGAATATCTTTGCATGTCACTACTGTTTTATGTTTTAACTACCTGTCCCAGGTACCTCTTGTGGCAGGCACCTCTACTGCCCTGCCAGACCTTCTCAAAGACTTAAAAAACAACACTCCTACTAGGAAAGTTTTTAAATTAAAAGGGAAGGGTAAACAAAAAAGGGAGTTAAGTTCCTGTAAGTATTTTTTTGCAATGTGTCATCTCACAGAACTCATCCCTGTAGCGCCAACAGGGCAGGAGCTCTGCCCTCACATGTCTTCATAATACTTCATGAGAGAGGCCATTCCCACAGCAGTTCAGCCTTTCAATGCTGGGGAAGCCTGGCATGATAAAATTCTATTTCCTTGTCAGCCATTCTGCAGGAAACAAACTGTGTGTGTCCTGACAGGCTCTAACAGTGTGCTAGGGCTGCCATGACACAGGCGGAAGGCCTTTAACAACACAATTTTAATTTCTCACAATTCTAGAGTCTAGAAATCTGACATCAAGCTATTGGCTAAGGTGGTTTCTCTGAGGCCTATCTCCTTAGCTTGTAGATGGATATTTTCTATCTTTGTGTCCACTGGGTTTTCTCTTGTGCTTCTTACTGCCTTTTCTTGTGTCCTTACTGCCTCTTTTTATAAAGCCCCCAGGCATAATTGATTGGAGCCCAACCCAATGAACTCAGTTAACCTTAATTATCTCTTTAAGGACCAACTGTTCAAGTGCAGTCACATTCTGAGTCACTGGGGGTTAGAACATAAAAACGTAAATTTTGGGGGAGGGGACACAATTCATCCCATAGCATAGACTAATCCCAGGAAAAGATTACTGGGTTAAAGGCTATGCAAATTTATAAATTTAATAGCTATAGCCAGAATTCTTTCCAAAAGAGCTGTGGCAGGTACACTGACACCAGGTGTTTCTGAGTGTAGCTGCTTCTCTGTATCCAGACTCTTCTGGATATTAATATTATTTTAAAATTTTGCCAATTTTGTATCTGTGTGGCAAATGAAATCACATTCATTTCATTCTAATTTCCCAAAAGATACTTGTGAGTCACCTCTCTGTTATTTAACACTTATGTGGGTTTCCTCTATCCTGAGTCATCTGCTCAGATCCTTGCCCGGTGATGGACTTTCTCCAATCCTGGAGTCCCCCAATATTTTCTCTTTGCCCAATCTGGAATTCCTGTAGTTGTTTCTTAAGACTTATTGTAAAAAAAGAAAAGCAATTGTGTTGCTATTGTGTCAGAAGGGTTCTCCTATGGCGCCTTGCCCTGCGCACTGTCTCTAAAATTGAGAGGAAATGAGGCTCCCCAGGCCCTTCTCCTCCACGTCAGAGCAGACTGAGCCTCAGGGAGCTTAGAGGGAATTTCTACGAGCCCTCACTGTGAAAGGTTCTCAGTTTTGACCTGTGTGCTGTTAAGCAGCCATTTGGCATCCCAAGCCTGTTTTCTTATCTGTACTATTAGGGTATTTTTGAGACTCAGGGATAATGCTCTTCGCACAGCCCATGAATACAGGTGGATGCTGCTGCTCTACAGCTGACAAAATACCTTAAGGAAGCCTTGAATGTATTCTTTAATTATACTTTATTCCTGACATCAAATTTTACCTTGGAAGTTTAGAAACTTTTTCACTAGAAACACTCATGTTCTCCGCATGCACAAGTCCCTGAAGGGTTCAGGCTTCTTTGTGTTCCACACCCCAGTTCTCCAGTGGTTCACAGTGCTGTCACTGACCATATGTCCCTCCTTGTCCTGCCTAGAATGAAACTGATTCTCCCCTGAACCTAGAGGAGATGTGCATGATGAAGACCTTCTAGCCAGGCACAAGGGAGCAGCTAGTGGAGTCCCTGGTTCCAGCCTTCCAGAGTTGAGCCATCTCCTTCACCACATTCCTAGGCTCCTACTGGGACTTCACCATCACCTCACATTTCCTGGACCAGATATTCAGCAGGTGAGCATCTGCCCTATCTAAGGCTCAGTGTGACTCTGCCTCCTACTAGCTTTCTTAGAGATGTCACTGTAGCTCTCTATGACTCAGTTTGCTCCTTTGAAAAGTGAGGTGGTAAGAAAATTAACCTAACTGAGTTCTTGTAGAGAGAGACTACATGGCATAAGACATGACTACCACGTCCCTAGTGCCTTGCTCTGTAGAAAGACTGCTAGATCTGCCATGATTATTTTTTCTCCTTTCTCACTGAAGAAGCTCTCTGCCTCATGCCTAGATGGCCCATGTTTCTCTATGTTTAAAAAACCACATAAAAAGAAAAACCTATTTATTATTTGTGCAGGAGGTTTGAGAATCCTCCTATCTGGTCTTTGTCCTTGACACACACAACAGTGCTACCAGGGTACTAGAAGTGGGGCCTCTGGTGCACTCAGGTATTTGAGGAGGTTCTGGTTTGGGTTCATTCATTCAACACATATGAATTAAACACTTAAGTTGTACAGTCACATTTTCAGATGTGTGGCATAATTTAATGAACAAAGCAAATGATCATCCTTGGTTCTCAATTCTATTTGGGAAGTCAGACACTCATAGTAGACATCATAAGAAAATCACGTCCACAGAATGTCAAATGTAATGAATTCATGACCTCTTCTGGTATGACTACATCCTCCAAGATTCTGATGAAGATGACAGAACAGAGGACCAACTATAGCATGAGAAGGATTTGACAAAATTTGACATTCTTTTGTGATAAAAAAAAAACTCTCAAAAAATTAGGCATCGAATAAACACATCTTAACCCAATAAAGACCATGTATGACAAATACACAACTAAAATCATACTAAGTGGTGAAATGCTGTAAGCATTTTTTTTCTATGAGCTATTACAAGACATGGATTCCCATTTTCACCAATCTTATTAAACACAGTACCAGAAAATCCAAACCAGAGAAATTAAAAAACAAAATTATGGGAGAATAACAATGTTCCAAATACCAGTCAATGTTTTTGTCCTAAGCTTAGCTGAACAGCACAAAAAATACAGTTTTCTTGATGTTTTGTGACTCCATTTGTCAGTCATAAGGACAGAGACTCAGATATGTTCTAGCATGTTTGGGAACCAGTACAGAGCACAGAAGAGGCTGCTGTACTTTAGGGCTTTCACTTTAAGCTCGAGGCCCCTGGAGTCCCTTGTGCGGACGGTGATGGCGTGGAAGACACCACAGCAGCAAGTGGTGCTGATGCTCCCGCCTCCGGTTACTCTGTGACTGCAAACAACAAGTTTGTATCCCGAATCACTGAGAGATGTTTCAGTCCAAAACTGCATGGTATCTAAGACTCTATCAGAAAGAATATCCAAGAAGTTGGCTGCAGTTAGGTGACTAAGAATGAAAATTGTTGATGGTCACTGTACCTGCTGAAATAAATATTTAATAATTTATGAGTGAGGAAATTCCCCAAGATTATAATATTATCTGGAAAAAAAGATCCTTCCAAATTTTAAATGTACAGAGGTCATTTTACTATTGTCCAAGACTGAGCATACACACGCAAAGAGAGACAATTTTATATAGAAATATAAGTAGTGCTATAAGTATTTTATAGAAAATTAAATTCAAAATACTTCATTTACCATTAACTCTCCTTAAAAATTTATTTCTATATATTTTCCCTTAAAAAATTTCCAAATGCTGATGTTTCTTAACATAGCACTTACAATATACAATACAATGTTAATACATTAATCATTCTAATTTTACATTTGTCACACTTTGTGTTAGGTCCTAATAACAATTTTTTATAAACAATGACAAATAATGCTAAGTCTGTGATTTAATCTTCTGACCCATTGAGACTGCATTCCTCTTTATCTATCCTCAAACTCTCCAGTTAAAAACAATTTTCACCACATTAAAAAATTCCAAACTTCTATCAGAACCTTAAAAACACTGTGTGAAACAGCATGTGGTTAGGAGAAGAGTGAGAAAGCTATAGCCATAACACAAGCAAAGAAGATGAATGCTGTGTAGCTGGGGATGAAAATAAAGAGACACGGAGGAATGAAGAGAGGTAGGAAATGAAATAAGCAAAATTCTTTGTAAATTCAAAGAGAGTCAGTTGTGCAACCTAAGTACAGATACGCCCTCTCCATATGCAGAATCAATGCCACTCATTCGCCCTGGATGTTTGCAATCTTTCACCAGGAGCTACACACACACTTCCATAGAAATATTTAATGCTAGTGATGGAGCATCTACTACACACCAAGCACTGTCCTGTGTCTGTTCACTTCATATAAATGTGAAAACAATACTATGGCTTATGAAGCCTCCCCAGTTTTCCCCTGAACAAATTGGCCCAATAAAATCAATAAACTCAATTATGTCAATTATAAAAAATGAAAGAAACAAAAATGAAAAAACATGCCTCATACAGAGTTCTTGAGAAAAAATGGAACGCACTAATTAAATAAAATTTAACTTAATACAGTCACTGTAAAATTGTTCAAATCTTCAAATTATTTTCTGAATATCATTAAAGTTTATAGATGACATTCTTATAATCTCTGAGCAGGTAATATAAACACTTCATGAACTTGGGAAGAAGAAACATTGGAAGCATGTGTGCCTGGCTTCTGGCCAGTGCTCTCCCGGGCCGATTGGAGTGGCTGCCCAACAGGTTTCTACCCTCTATGAGAAATAAATTCTCCTTTTTCCAAAGTAGAAAAAAGGAAAATTTTATACTTGGTTTACATGGAGAGATTTTGAACCAGGAGCTATAAAACTTTAAAGACATGAATTCAATGTAAAGCAGAAAAAATAAATTTGCTTTCAGAATGATGTGAGGTTTCTAGTTTGGTAGTAAATCATCAACATTTTCAAAATTAACTTTTTTTCCTGATATTTTTCTTTTCAAAATAGATAGACACACAAACACCATTACTTCTGCCACAATTATTTTACACTTAAAGTTTTTCTTTAGACTGATACATTTATATATTCAATGCCATATAAATCAAAACTAAAAGTTTATGTGTGTTTTGTAGGTCCAAAGTAGTCATGTGTTTAATATGTAGGGTAAAATTTTCTGAATAGTTATTCAGGATTCAGAAATGTATGGCTTTTGCTTATACACCTATATAAGCTTCATTACAACCACCATAATGACCTCATAATTACAAAAAGAAGAAAAACATAACTCATGGGAACAATATTTTCAAATTATTTGAACTTTAAAGCCAGTGGTGAAAAAGATGGTATCCCACTATATTATTTAACATTAATAGTATATTGTTACCATCTGTTATCTACAACCTTGAGTAAGGTGGGATACAATAACAGTGGTCATAGTATAACACTTTATTCAAGCATAATACTCTTAACACATTAAAAACAATTTCAGGTTGTTTATTAAACAAATTCATACATAGTCTAAAACAAAATCATATCAAAATCTACTGTTTTATAACCTTAATCTACAATTGGTGAAACTAAATAGTAAATACTTTAATGTTCAAAATGATTTTTTAACTATAATGGAGAATATTCCTCTAAATACCTACTTAATGTATGACTTATAACACTATTATCAGTCAACTCCAAAGAGTCCCTTCACTTAGATTTTTTTATTGTATCTTACATTTTGGTGTCTTTCATTTTTCATGGTTAAAGTATACAAATGGTTTTCACCTAATATAGAAGGATCTCTTATAGCTCTAATGCAGCAAAATCTGACCACAGGCTTTCACATAAACGCTAGAAATTAAGGTATGGCATTAAGCAACTGGAGAATTAAATTACATAAATATTTGCTTTTCAAAAAATCTAAAATTTGGCCAGGCATGGTGGCTCACGCCTGTAATCCTAGCACTCTGGGAGGGCAAGGCGGGAGGATCGCTCAAGGTCAGGAGTTCACAACCAGCCTGAGCAAGAGCAAGACCCTGTCTCTATTAAAAATAGAAAGAAATTAATTGGCCAACTAAAAATATATAGAAAAAATTAGCCGGGCATGGTGGCACATGCCTGTAGTCCCAGCTACTCAGGAGACACAAAGCAGAAGGATGGCTTGAACCCAGGAGTTTGAGGTTGCTGTGAGCTAGGTTAACGCCATGGCCCTCTAGCCCGGCAACAGAGTAAGACTCTGTCTCAAAAAAATAAATTTAAAAAAAATCTAAAATTTGTTCAGTGCAACCAAAGTGTACTTCGAATGTAATCATTGCTCTCCAAAAACATCAATCTCCTGCTCCTTTTAAGGCAACAAATAATCTATTTTAACTTTAGATTTTTCTCTATAATCAACATTTTTGTTTAGAGTAAGATATGAAAATGTTTTAGTGCTTTCTACTGTGAATCTTCTGATGTTTATTTAGATTTAATTTTTGATTAAATATATTTCCACTCTTATTGCATCTGTAAAGTATCTTTTAGTATGAACTTTCTGGTGTTTTCTAAGGTATAATTTTTGGACATTTTTTTTTTGCATTCATTACATTTGTAGGGTTTCTCTCCAATAAAATTTCTCTCAAGGTGAATAAAGTTTGAGTAAATTTTGTATGGTTACCCTGCAGTATAAATTCTCCTGTGTCCTGTGACATCTGTGATATAAGAAGGTATTGAACCAGTCTTTATAGATTTGTAATGTTTTTCTGCTGTATAAATATTCTTGCACACTCTAAGGCTTTGTGGAGGGACTTTCCAAAGGCACTGCATCTGTAATGCTTTTATTCAGTATGAATTTTCTGATGTTAAGATGTGAGCAATTATTAAAGAGAAAGGATAGCTGAAAAAAATGAAAATAACAAATAATCTCACTTAGACTCAGTTGGATATATATTTACTAAATAAAGTTACAGCAAGTGCATTAACAAGATGAAATACCATAGGTATTCATTGTTTCATAGATATATAAGGTTTCTATTTTTAGTAGAGATGGGGTCTTACTCTTGCTCAGGCTGGTTTCAAACTCCTGACCTTGAGCGATCCTCCCACCTCGGCCTCCCAGAG